CGGCCTACTGGCTTAGTCCAATTTATTTACGTTACGATAGCATAAGTTGTTACGTTAGCTATAACGTAACAACTTATGCTAGCGAGCTAGCGAGCTAGCGAGTGCTAACTCGTGATCACAAGCCGGCTGAACTATTCTTAGCCACGCCACGGCCCACGTGGGCTGTCTCTTTATTGATGTCGATAATGACGATTATGACTCCAATCCAACTAAATTATGTAAAATCGCTCCTATTAATGGCGGATGATATTTTATGTGTTGTAAAGATACCGTTTTGGTGATTATTTGGCCGTAGTTTATTTGAATGCGTATTTTTTGCGTACACTTTAATTGGGTTGATAAAACGAGACTGTTTGATGGAAAAACCAAATATGATGCTGTCTAGTTGACAGAATCTAATGTCGATTTTATGGTAGCTCATGGCCTCACATAGCTCGGGAAAACCAACAATACCACTAGAGCTGGATTTGTGTTCATAAATTATTTTATATAGCCCACTGTAAATTTTTCCTTATTACATTTTTATTTCTGCCTATTCAGATAGGCATTTATGTACACATTAAACAAAACTGATTAACTGTACAATTTTAATAAAGACTCCTCTACCGTCATTGTTTTTTAAATTAACATTGATCACGGTACGTGTTTTATCACCTTCCTACGGTGACGATGAAGCCATTTCGTTGCTGACCCTGGCAGGCTTCTAGATAATTAAATAAACGCAAGCAACCTCTATTGACTGATAAAAACGGAAATATTTAAACACACTGGCTTCTTGTAATTACCGCAAAATAAAGAATGGATTATGTACACGGGTTTTTGGAAGTAACTGCTTTTGTGTGCAATAGGTAGCAGCGTTTACTTAAGCAAATCTCGGATTAGTAGTACTTACTTAGAATTTTATTATAAGAAGCAATGTCTGTGGTTCATACAAATGTTTGTTCGGTAATTTCCCGTGGTTCTCAAAATCTTAATTAACAAGAAGCATGTAAAAGCACTCAAGGTTAGCACCTTTCACCTTTCATTTAGGTATTTTTTTAAGGGGTGGAAAATCATCCAATCGCTTCTCCCGCCCGACTCTTGCACTTCGTGCCGGAGCCCCGGCAACCCGTTAAGTCCTCCGCGGCTCCGTATCGGCATCGGCCTTAGTGGGCCCCATCTGTGGTGGTCTGATGGCTCTTTGAGGCGCGCGTGGAATGCGACGTGCCGTAGGCTTGGGTCTGGTTCTGGTTGGACGGCGTGACTGGAGGAGATCGTCTCGCGATTAAGGCATGCTTTGACGAGCCTTTAATACTCACCAAGTATACTAGCTACGTAATTTTAATAATTGATAGATTAATGATCCAATGACAATTCGCTTGATTTTCACTATTAGTAGTTAATAGTTTCGTTAGGCAAAGATTTGTTAAAACTTTGGTTATTGAAGAGGATTGGCCAATAAAATGGAGGCTTAATATCCGGCATAAAACGTTGACACAAACGACGGTTGACGATTAGAGTGATCAACGAAAAAATATTGCCTAATGCGTTTATAATGACGTGTATTTTGATTGTGTCGATGTCGATTGTCGCCGGCGCAAACCAACCGAACAAATTCGTACATACATAGTTACCCTGATCTGAAATTATTCACAGAGCTGGTTTTAATGTGGTTATTGGTGTTATCGTTGCGCACTACAGTTGTGTATAAAATTAACTATGTAGTGTTTAATTAAACCATCTATCTAATACTCTTTATTTGCATAGGATTACCAGACGAATTATTTATTCTAAAGAATAATTTAATTTATTATTATATCATACCTCGTGTGTTCATAAGTTTTGAGACAAATTAAAAGTTGCATATCTTTTTAAATAATAAACTTATATTAATAAAAACAATAACAAACATATTTAAGTAGATAGTAAGTAAAAATTAAATATAATTATTATTCAAAATGACCACACCTGTTTTTAATACATGCCCTTAGACGATTTGGCCAGTCATCAATGGCGGCACGAATCTTTTCCAGAGGAATTCGCTTCGCTTCTCGGACAAGAGCTCGCTTAAGTGACTCCAAGTTTGGGTGGGACTTTCGGCAGGTTCTGAGCTCTAATTCGGTCCATAGAGAATAATCCAGCGGGTTGAGGTCGGGGCTGGAGGAGGGCCATTCGTTCGCCGCAATGAAAGCCGGCACATTTTCCTTCAGCCAAGCTTGGGTGGTTTTAGCCTTATGGGATAGCGCCGAGTCTTGCTGGAAAACCCAATACTTGTTATAAAATAGGGTATTAGACAGGGGTTTCACAACAGTCTCTAGAATGTCACTTTGATAATTTTTGGCTTTCACCTTGACGCCTTGTTGGCAGAAATGAAGCTGAGTGACACCTTCGTACGAAACTCCCCACCATACCATGACACTAGCCGGATGATGAGTACGCGAGACATTCCGTGCTGAAGGTGGGACATCCTTGCTACTTTTGGCATACACTTTATTGTTTTGTCAATTGAACTTTTCTTCGACGGTAAATATTTTCTCGTCGGTGAAGAGTATCTTCCTCGCATCGTGTCTCCTAAGCAGTATTGGACAACGTTCGCGTCGCAATTGACGAGGGCGATCGTTTAAAAAGTGTACTTTTCTACGGCTATACGCCTTAACCTTGAGATCATATTTCAGTATTCTGTTGACTGAAACGCGCGAAATATTGGTCTGCAGAGCGAGTTTCTTCTGAGTGCGACATGGATTTCGGCGAAGTCGCTCTCGGATGATTTTAATGTTCGCAGGCGTCCTCACAGAGCGTGGACGACCACTTCTTTGCCGATCATGTAAAGAACTTGTCTCCTGGTATCATTTAATAGTGTAATACACGAAGTTACGGCTCACACCAAAACTTTTCAGTTCTCGGAAAATGTCCATAGGTTTTCTTCCCACCTTAAATAACGAAATGACGTTTGCACGTAATTCTTTTGTTCCCTCCATTACGAGAAAATTTAAATAAAGTAATCCGAAATCATAGATATTAAAAGTTAACATTCCAAATTCAAAATTAGAAAAAGAAATATACAGCAGCCAGTAATTTTTATTTTTATTTATAAGCAAAAAGTTTGTCTCAAAACTTATGAACACACGAGGTATTATAAGTTTACCTATTCAGTTTCTTTATCAAAAACTTTTATACCCGACGGGGTAAGCAGAAGTGCACAATACGGCACTTAATTCCACTGTGTAATCAAAAAGTAATGTATAAATTATTTTTTAATCACGTCATCCTTCTGCGAATTCTGATTAACTGAAATCTCTGGTTAGGTAGCCTCTTTATTATGTGGTGATGGTAATGGACTATTGTTACTTTAATATTAATGTTAACAGTCTTTTTTGTGGTCAGGACAAGGTTTTCTAGTAAAGAACCTTGCCTTGATTATTTTATTAAACATTATTAGAATTTGAGCTTCCTTCGAACTGATATCCTGCTATCATCATGACATATTAAGGTATATTAAGTTCTGAGTGACAAATATAGTATAGTAACTAATCATCTTGATCTATTAGATATTTGTCCTCTTTTTGATCTGCTAATAGCCCTATCATAATAGTTTCTGTGATTATCAAACACAACAAAGGCTCCTTTTATCTCATGTTTTCCTAAAAACTTAATCAAATTCATATTTTATTAATCACATTTTCAATTAACCCGAATATTTATCGTGGTTAACTATTTGATTTATTTACATACAAAACATTACATGTAGGTATTTATGGCCGATAAATGTCGACGATAATTTAGACTGCGATAAAACAAATGGAAGTTTCCGAAAATAGATTGTAAAAAATATCGAAATCTGGAAACGTCTGGAAAAATGTTTGTTATTGAGTTAGGACCGATTTTACCAACGTCAGATAATTTTTAACTTAGGAATAACTTTCAATATTTGACAATTCTTCCATACTAAAAACTGTCAAATGACAATTTTATTCTACAGTTAACACAGTTATGAATTAACTGATGATTACAAAATCGGCTCTTAATCTAATGACTAAGAATCTCAGCAGGGAATAATAAAATCGATAATTATAACAGGGATAGCACTTTGGTCTTTCCATTAAGTATTTTCCTTGTTTTCATTTAGGAATAGGTAATGTAAATCACCTAAAATATTGCGTTTTGTTTTAAGTAGTTAATACTGATGCATTTATCATTTATTAATGATTCATCTTCATCATCATATCAGCCGTAAGACGGTCACTGCTGAACATAGGCCTCTCCAAATGACTTTATTACATTAATGGTTTATGTTTCCTTACCTAGTTATTCTTAAACGTACTTGTGATCGCCATCTTTAGTATTTTATAAGCCCAAAATAGTTATCTGCGAAGCCGGAGACAAAAACAAACGTATTTTGCACAAGTGTCAATATGGAATTTCCAGCATTTTGAAGGCAATGTTTTCTTTTCCATTACAGAAGCCAGTAATGGATCCCAATGTTTTTGTTATAACACGAGTATGATAAAAATAACATGTACCTACGTTACCTAACGATATTAATGCGGATATTGTAGATTTATTAATTTATCCCTATCTCGATTAACGTTTCAATCTATGCGTGGGAGTTGTGTGAGTATCGCGGTCAGTAGCTAGATCTAGTACTGAGTAAACAGGAAATATTTCGTTTAGATATTAGGCAGATAGTAATTAATATTATTGAACTTTAACTTAATTCAGCAAAACATTCAGTTTCTTCTGTAACTATTGTTTGTTATATAGAATGTTGTAAATTGGCTTTGTGGCATTTCTAGACTATAATGTCCATGACACAGGTCATTATAATAGATACTAAAGTGATACTCAAATAAAATGATTAAGTAGGTAGGTACTCCACCCTTCTCAAAGTCCAATTTCGCTAAAAATAAATGATTGTATCATCATTCAAAGTTCTTACTTCTTACCTAAGTTTCAATGTCAATAGATATAGACGATAGTAAATCTAAGTCTGTAATAACATGAGTACTTGTTTTTGTTTTCAGTATTGTTCGAGGCGTGCCACAATGAGCCCGCGTGTCTCCAGGACAAAGCTGGCCTCGAAGCCATCACGCAGCTACACAGGCAGCTTGATGACGATGCCAACGGGAATGTTGACCTCAGCGAGAGTGACGATGTGAGTTCTAGTATCTATATTTTTTTCAAAATCATCTGTTGTCCTTCTAAGTTAAGAAAAGTCGTAAAGAACTAAAAATGTTATATATTCTGTCTACAAAGACCATATTTTCCAAAGACCCGCTGTTGTTCTGGCAGATTATTATACCATTAGGTTTTAAGAAAATCTACTACAAGAAGAAGCTATGTAAATGGATAGCGTTAAGACTGAGTCATAATTCCAAGTTCCAATATTCAAGCATTATTTTTTCAAAGATCTGCACATTTATGACGTAAGAGGTTTCACGGGAGTTAAAAGAAACCATATTATTATAGTGCTGAAATGTATGATTCTTCATTACACTTATTTGGTTTCCTTCACGTCTTTACCTACTTATAACACTGCACGTGTCGGCAAAGAATGCCTATTGTCCACTTGCTTGTAATTGTAGTTAATGATCCCTACAATCAAGTCAATATTCTGTCTTTGTTTGACGATCACCAGAAATAATTACACATTATGTAAAATTTACTACTAAGGAATAGGTTCAAAATGGTATTGAGCCCTTGATTATTAAAATCCGGACTGTCCATAATTGCCATTCTAAGACCGGGGAAAGATTGCCACTCATCTTTAATACCGCTAAATATGTTTTAGGTACAACAATTTAGGGTCAGCTCTTTTGACGTGTACGCTCAATGCACATCGTTACATCTAGGTGTAAACCAACCCCTAAATTGATTGGACATTCGAATAAACAAAACCTCCAGGAAAAATGCAGAGGAAACATTACTTATCAGTTCACAGAAAAATAAAACAACTTGTAGGTATCTAATTTGGATTATCGGAATCCGTCTGAGTATTTGTTTACCTCTAAAACCGAGATCTGCTTATCGTTAGAAACACGAAATACGGAAAAAATCCAGTTTTACCTGGTTTCATGTCAACAGGCGAAGGATACGCCCTTGTTTAATATTCTCAGTATGAAGATTCGCTGTCTAACTTAATTAGGCTGACCTGATATAAAACCTTCTTTCAAGACCTATTTGGCAGTCTCCAAATAACCTTCCGTCTTTTGCCATTTGTCCATAAAGTATTTGGTAGATTGCCTAAAAGAACAGTTTAGAGTTCGAGGTCGGTCGGGCATAAATGGGTAATGGATTTCCCAATAAAAATATCATTAGTAAATTAACCCTTTGAGTACTGTTATTATAGATACAATTAAAGACCAATAGGTTGCGGTCACCGGTGTCCTCGCGGTGTTTGACAGTTTAACTTAGATTCACGACATTTCGACGGTCTTTAATCTTAAGTCTCAAAGTTTGTGACGCCGTTAATTCTGACCTTGACTTCTTTTTATAAGTGTGGGGTTGGCCTTGACCCGTACCTATAATAGTTACAGAAGCCAACTCATCAAGTCATCCCAAATTGTTACTCTTTTAGGCGTTACTGCCAAATTTAATGGCTGACACATATAACAGCAAATCAGCACAACAAAAAACATAACAAGGACACAGGAGAAAAATCTAGAGTGGGGCAACGTTTAAAAAAAAATAACTGGACAAAAGAGGATGTTACATTTTTAGTATTAACTTTATGTTGAAAATCCATGAGCTTGGCTACCATAATGGAAATCATAGGACATAAGTCCACGTTCATGGCTTTCATGATATGAATAAGAAATAAAGCGATGTCAAGGTCTTCTCACAACACTGTTATTTATTACTCAATAGAATTTTTCTTTACACACGAGCGAACTAAATTGGTGACTTATACGTACGTGCAGTTATTTTTATGTATTTAATTATAGGAACCTGGTTTGATCATGAACCGTTTCGGTTATTTATATATTGCACCTGGAGTATCGAATTTAAATATAGTGTTTTATTGATTGATTTATCTTGGAGATGATAGGAGGATGGCCAAACAGCCCATAATAAATCGATTTAACTAAGATTTCGGAACTATATCAAACCCCAAATTGCCCTAAGCCGTGGCAATAAATGACAGTCGCCTCATATAGAAAAATAATACCATATTTAAAAGGATTTGGTTCAAACTCAATACTAATTATGTGGAAGTTGATCAGGAGAAAGAAGATTAGGTAATTGTAGGAGTGCTTTCCTGTTGCATAGTATAGTCAGGTAATTTACCTGGAACCAAATATTTATGGAAATCACTATATAGTATGAAAAAAAATCGCTATCCGTCGTCTGTCTGTCCCTATGTATGCTTAGATCTTCAAAACTACGCAACGGATTTTGATGTGATTTTTTTAATAGATAGAATGGTTTTAAGGAATGTTTATATGCATAATACATACATTGCACCCGCGCGAAGCCGGGGCGGGTCGCTAGTTATCTTATAAACTTATATCGATACCAGTTCATTTGGAAGACATTACTAAATACCTGCTCAATTAATTTTTTCATCTAAGTCTAGAATTTCGATCATATTGATTAAAATAATATTATTTATGTCCTTTATGTTGTTATTACAGTTTCTTCGCGAGGAGTTGCAGTACGACAGCGGGTACGAGAAGCGGCAGAGGGCGTTCCACCACAATGATGATATGCACATCTCTGTCAAGGAGCTCTGGGAGGCGTGGCTACGATCGGAGGTCAGTAGATTATTTTGGAACGTTCTAGAAATAAATAGGACCTTAGGTTTGTTTCTGGGTCTCTAAAATTTGTCAGTCAGTGTTACAAATAGGACTGAATATTGATTATGACCTTGAACTCTAAATTGACTAGACGTTTGGTGTGGTTGCTAGGCTTGCGACCGTGAAACGTGTGGCTGGTTCGATTCTCGCATGGAAAAACACTTTGTGTGATCTACCGAATTGTCGTTTCTGGTTTGAGTGTCATATGTATGTGAAATGATGTGTTTGTAAACGCACCCACTACACAAGAGAAAATCCTAGTCTGGGGCAACGTTTGAAATGAAAAAATCCAATTGTTCATTTTATTATACAAATAAAATATTACTGTCGTTAGAATCTCGATAACAACAGTTTACAATATAACCTCACCCATCATTTTAGAAAGGAGTAAACAGAAGCGCACAAATTAGAATAGAATAACGTTTATTTCACAAAATATTATCACAATAGTTATTTCAGTCCTTATCCCAAGTTACTCAAGGTCGACATTGTCTTCTTCTCTTCGTTATTAATATAATCGGAAACTCTTTACTAAACTTATCTTCAATATTCCAGGTTCACAACTGGACAGTAGAGCAGACGGTGGAATGGCTGTCTCAGTCCGTGGATCTGCCCCAGTACAAGACTTTGTTCCTACAGCACAAAGTCACCGGCGCTACCCTGCCGAGGTATTTGTAAACTGTTGTTTGTATATTAAGTAGTGTCAACTGCTTGTTTTCTATCTAGGCTTAGATGGAATAAGCCGGTAAACGCCCATGGACATCCGAAACACCAGAGATGTTACGAGTGCGTTACCGGCCTTTTGGTGATTAGGAACCTGAGGATTATTGGGAATTCGGAGATTGGGGTGGGGGTAATTGGGTAACCTCACTCACACGACGAAACACAACGCAAGCGTTGTTTTACGTCGGTGTTCTGTGAGGCTGTGGTAGCACTCCGGTCGAGCTGGCCCATTCGTGCCGAAGCATGGCTCTCCCACACTTGAATTACTTTCGATTTCTATGTATCCTTATCTATTCCAACCTTCAGAGCGCTTGTTAATTACCAGTACAACAGAAATTTGCAACAAAAAATGTGGGAATATTCCACGGGTACTATAATTATATTTATTTCCCGAATCCTATGTGGCACAAACTAACAGAATTAGAATTTTGCTTACTCGCTATATTCTTGTTCAGCGCCATCTATTGGCTTAATTGTCAAAATTATTGAAATATTATTTTTCAAAATTCGAGTATTTGTAAGTGCTGCTACAAGACTACAATCGTTTTTTTTTTTCAATTTTACAAAAGTGCTCTTTGAGTCTGTCTAGTGTTAGAGATCGAATTGTATCCAATTGCTTATTTGCGTTCATGCAAATGATGATGCATATCATCAGAAATACACAAGTACCTCAAAGAGGCACCCAAAACTTCCTTATTCGACTACATATCTTTGAATAAAAATCATGAATTTTGTCAACAGATTGGCCGTAAACAACATGCAGTACCTGAGCAACGTGCTGGGCATCAAAGATCCTATCCACAAACAGAAGCTTGCACTCAAAGCGATGGACGTTGTCTTGTTTGGACCCCCTAAAGGTAACGTACAATTCTTTAATAAACAACCATTCGCTTTATAACACAAATACTTTATTACCCGACTTGTGTTCGGAAAGAATTTGGCATGAAAGAGTTGATTCGACCGGAGTCAACGGTTTCGCATAAAACAACGCTTGGAACAGCGTGCAACAACATTTATGTTGTTTTGCCATTTTAGTGCGGTTACTGGAAACCTTACCCAATATTTCAAGGTGGGCATGCTTTGGCACGAATGGGCCGGCTCCACCGGAGTGATTCCACGGCCTCATAGAAAACCGACGTGAAACAACACTTGCGTTGTGTTTCGTCGTGTGAGTGAGGTTACCGGAGTCCCAATCTCTCCTCTCCCCAATATCCCTAATCCTTGAACCACCAACAATCCTCAAATTCGTAATCACCAGAAATCCGGTAACACACTTGTAACGCCAGTGGTGTTCTGAGCGTCTATGGGTGACGCCGATAGCTTACCATCAGGATACATCTGCTCGTTATACTGCATTTTGTTAATATTGTTCTGCATTTAGAGATGAACACTAGCCATACAGCATAATTATGCCACTTTGTTATCAAACAAGTTTGCGTGATATAATTTTATCCGTACATAGTTAAAATTTTATCCCTCGCTCATCCATAGCAACTTTACTACAAGTTCTAATAGTAGGAATTCAGCACAAATTAACAAATTAGTCCTTGGAACTAGATTCCAACATTGCAATTAAAACATACAACTGTTTATAATAAAACGTGTTGGAATCATCTTAATGTTTATATTGTAACCGGTTTTACATTATCTAATACTACGACGGACATCTTATAACCGGTTCATACATATATACATATAATCATCAGTGAGATGATTTAATTGTGTTATGTTTATGGTAACATGCGTAATTTCCAACTGACTTCAAAAAAAGGAGGATGTTCTCAATTCGACTGTATTTGTTTTTTTTTGTTTATATTTTCAATCGACTTCAAAAAAAAGGAGGATCTTCTCAATTTGACTGTATTTTTTTTATGTTTGTCTTGACTCGATTACTAGAAGACGCCTGGACCGATTTCAAAAATTCTTTTTTTGTTTGAAAGGTTAGGCTTGTCATTTGGTCCCATTGTCATGAAGTCAGGATCTGATGATAGAATCCCAGGGGAACCTAGGGCAACTTTAAAAAATTATAGGGGCGACTAGTGCATTTGTTAATTTTTTCGTTAAGTATTTAAAACCACTATAATCTTTTTGTTTTGTTGCATGAAATTTTCGCTTAGTTGCATGGAGTATATTATTCTTAGGGTTTGTAAGAGTCGCGGAGAACCTAACGGGTAACCGGGGCTCCGGCTCGACGTGCAGGAGAAGGAACGGGGTGGTTTTTAGTCAGTAAGAGTCTGACACTCCCTCCCGGCTCACCCAGGCGGGAGCAGTCATTCGATGTTTTTCCCCCCTTAAAAAAAAAACACGGTTTGGAAGAAGACTCGACCTGTAACTAAAGTTCATAATGAAACTATGTAATTCTGTTATTATAAGTATGTCTGATTGTGTACTCTATGTATAATTCAAGGTCGATTTCTACTTTATTTATTCTGTACTAGCTGAGCCTGCAACTTTATCCGCGTAGAATAGTGATTCACAGTTGCTCCCCCGTAGTTGATAGCAAGATAATCTGTAGCCTGTATGTTGGCCGGACCTGTTAGTAATATTCATGCAAAATTTGAAGTAAATCCATGCAGCACTTTTTGAGTTCATCCCGGACATACTTACATACAGACAAACAGACAAAAATTCTAAAAACCATATTTTTGGTTTCGGTATCGATTGTAGATCACGCTCAAAACATTCTTTTAAAAAGATATGCGATGTAGAGTTTTCACTTTTCTACGATTTTATTATATACTATATAGATACTGACTTTGAAAAGCCAAGATCTCAAAGCTTAAGAACTCAGTAGTCCAACTTGCTATCAGTTGACCACAAATTAAAGATGAGCAATGACTATATTAATATCTTCAATTATATTTTTAGATGTAGGTATAACTTATTCAATTACGTCATAATTTTTATACACAACTCTCAATTCCAGTAACGTCGACCTCATAAAAAGTAAATTGATGTTTAGCTAGACGATGTTTGTTTAGCAGAATACTTCAACGGCCATATTTTTTTTACTGCCAGTGACTTGGCGTAATGGCAGTTTAATAGCGAAATAAGTGATGGGTGCACGACGACTTTGAAATTTTAAAGTTTGTGACGGAAAGCTATTTTATTGTTTTACTACCTACCCCCGCGTGGTTTAAACCGCTTTGCTCGGCTCTTATTGATCGTAGTCTGATGTTTTAATGTCTATATACCTTAACTTTGCTAAAACTAAAACTGATGAAAGCTAAAACTAAAAATGTCTATAACCTTCATCGATAAGTAGACTATCCAACACAGAAAGAATTATTCAATTTGGACCCGTAGTTTCGGAGATTAGCGCATTTAAACAAATAAATTCGTCAGCTTTGTACCGAAAATAGTGTAAGATTTTTCCATACAAACATTATTGTAGAGGGCGTTGCGATCGTAAATTTCTACCACATCTTTTTGGCCTATTATACGTGTTTTAATGACATAAAATGGTAGGTTCCCCAATTCCCCATCAATTTTGGCTAGTTACAAATCTTATTTTATGAACCGAGTCTCTTGCTAGAACCAAAACAACTAGTGAAGATCTTAGCTCGACCAAATTGCAATGATTACAATGTCTCAGGCTACGTGATTAGCAGTAGTATCTTGCACGCAACCACCAGACCAGTCTAACTACCAATAAATTATTCTGTAATTACGATAAGTTATTTAACCCCATAACCCATAGAAATACATACTTCAAGGTCACGATCATTCATTCAAGCATGTATTATAAATTGTTCATTTTATAGTAGACTGACAAATTACTTGTCTTCTTGTCCCCGTTATTGGTTAGTCCTAATTTAAGTCCTATGTAGAGCAAAAATTACGTCCCATATTAAAAGGATCCTTAAAATAACCACCAATAGAATCAAATTGACAATAGAAGAAAATACTGAAAGAGACTGCACTCTTTTGTGCCTTTAGGCTTAAGAACCCCTTGTGAAAAGTGACCCTTGAAAAAATTCACCGAGGGAAGTGAAAACTATCGTTTTTTTTTTCTCCTCTATTAATATCTTCTGATTTATTTCGTTGCGGATTCCAAGACATTCCTGTTCCTTAGACGCGCCGGACTTCAGTGTTCCAGTGTTTTCATGGATGTATCCTGGCTTATAGAAGTTGCAGCGGTTTTGGGAGGTTGTGGCGGGCTTATCCTTAAATAAATAGACGAAAACAGTCCTTATGTCCAAATACTCAATCGCCACTGAATTTCAAGTCGCGCTTGAGTATAGTTCTGTCACTACAAATTCTTTGTAAAATGACAGAGATGGCACGATATTTAAGTACAAGTTACATAGCATAACATCACGCCATTTATCCCCGAAGGGATAGGCAGAGGTGTACATTATGGTACAGTATTAGTAACGTATTTATTTCTAACATGACAATTGACAAAATGTCCAACGTTAAACTACGAACTAGCAAATGAACTGAAGTAACATAAAAATAAATTGGATGTCAGCAACATCATGGCCCGTTGAAGGCCGCCATAGTGCAAAAAACGTTTCATTATGTGGCTGATAATAGATCTACAACCATTGTTACAATGTCGATAACGTTTTGTTCATACGACGACGTGACGATTTACCGACAACTGCGCTAACATTGTTGTACTTACATTCTTGTAGTACTAGATAGTACTACATATTTTTTTAAAACTAATACCTATAATAATTCTCAATATATTTATTAAAGCTTCATTTACTTTTACTAAGTCTGTTGTTCCTGACGTGACGTCGGGCTCACCACCATACGTGGCCCGCGACCGCTGCGATCGGCGATCATTCATTCACTCGCTCGCCCGACACGACGCCGTGCGCACATATCGGTTGACCCTTACAATCAGTACCTATTGAAATACAGTCTTCTCATCATACCGAAGTCTTTTATTATTCAAGACCACCAGCAACACACCTGGAGCTTGATATTCAAACATCTGTTATTATTTGTAGTAAATTAAATCCATCACACAGGACTTATCATATAATCCTGCCGATTGCCCATTGCATAATATATCTAACTAGCAGTTGTTCTTAATGAATTTTGCCTTTCTTTGTTTCTATAACAAGGTACAACGGTAGCAAATGAAATCCCGATAGTCTGACAATAGAAAAAAATAACATCACGCCTTTTATCCCCGAAAGGGTAGACCGAGGTGCACATTACGACACTTAATTCCATTGTACAATTTAACACCCACTTTTCACTATTTATTTTATGAGTCCCATGTAATAAGTAGGGGGTGAGGCTATTGCCATATACCGGGCACAATTGAAGACTCTGTGCTACTACTGAGAAATTTTAAAAAAATCCAGTAGTACTTTGCCCGACCCGACCCTGACTCTCACAATAGCTTCTAATAAAACCATATTACTGATACCTTAAAACCAAACATATCAGTGGTGTAAGAATTTCCTCTAAATATCAAAGTTTCAGAGCATAATTAGTTATTGCAATCAAACAAGTAGTTTAAGTGTGGGAGAGCCATGCTTTGACACGAATGGGACCGGAGTGATACCACGGCCTCACAGAAAACCGACGTGAAACAACGCTTGCGTTGTGTTTCATCGTGTGATTAAGGTTACCGGAGGCCCAATTACCCCCCTCCCGAATCCCCGAATCCTCTAAAATCCTGTCGCGGAGAACCTAACGGGTAACCGGGGCTCCGGCTCGACGTGCAGGAGAAGGAACGGGGTGGTTTTTAGTCAGTAAGAGTCTGACACTCCCTTCCGCCTCACCCAGGCGGGAGCAGTCATTCGATGATTTTCCACCCATAAAAAAAAAATCCTCTAAAATCCTCAAATTTCCAATTCCCAAAAGGCCGGTATTGCACTTGTAACGCCTT